TAGCGACCCCGTTGCCCCCATCCCCTCCTCACCCCTTAGGGTCTCCAAATGTTGGTCCTAAATCTCGGGGACCAACGACACAAACCGCCGCCGCCACCGTTTCGGGGACCAGTCGGTAGGTGGGGGGGGATGGGGGAGCCCACCGCGAGGAGCGTACGCCTGTCCTCGCGCCTCGGCTCGGCCCGGCTCCCAGCGGGCGCCGCGCACGGTGGCTTGTGCAGCCGCACGCGGAGTGCAGCCTCGGCCAATCAGTGGTCAGCTTCGGGGAGGAGCTAGGAAGCGGGGGTGGGACCAAGGCTTAAACCGAGGAGGACGGTTCTCGGGCGGGTCAAAGTGCTTGGAGTGACAGACACGCTAACCAATTGAGGCGAGAAGAGTGGTTTTTAGGGCGTGGATGGGTGTGGAGTAATATGAAATGAAGGTCCTGCGTGCCTCGCTAAAGTGTTTAAAGACGGGGGATATATTTTGAAATGCGCTTTTTAAAAATGTATATATTTTTTAAATTTCAGAGCCAGGGGTTACAAGAACATGCCTGTTACATGGTATATTGCGTACCAGTAGGGATTGAGTTTCAGGAGTCCTCGTTCTCCAAATAGTGAACATTGTACCTGATAGGTATCTTCTGAGAACTCGCCCTCCTTTTAGTGTCTTTATGTCCATTTAGCTCCCACATATAAATGAGAACATGCAGTGTTACGTTTTCTGTGCCGTTTTTAGAGAAAGATACTTCGTAAAGGTTCTTTTTCTTATTTGACGGAGTTGCCAGTCTTAAAATGCTAGTTTGACGTAAAACAACCATACATACTAACTGTGACCTTTTAAATTAAGGGCTGGGGGTAGGGGTGGGAGTTTATAAAGCTAAAAGGTGGATTTGCAAATAGGACTAGAAGTATAAAGGTTAAGTGGTTTAAATGCCTAAGAGAAGGGTTTGAATTGGGAGGCCTAGAAACAAGTGTGCCGCTACCGCTAGTCAGCTTGGGGAGACATTTAGCAGTGGTGTAACTACTGAATCATGTCCTATGCTTATGTAAAACCAGCTTTCACGGGACACAGTTGCTTGGCATTCTATACATATACCCAGAATGTTGCTTCCTTTGAAGCTTAGGAGTAAATGCTGACAAAGAAAGGAAAAAATAATAATGAAATGCCTTTAGGAACCAACTCTTTATCTATAGATATTATCCGTAGACTGATAGAATATTAGAACTGCAAAGAACCTAGATCATATAGACTCTCCTTTAACAAGGAACTTGATACCCAGAATAATTAATGGGTAGCACACTTCTCCTTATTCAACCTCAAGGTATTTTTCTCCCACAATAACTCATGATTTAAGTTGTTTTCATGGAATTAATTAATGTCTACCAATTTAAATTTTCTTTGTTAACAAATCAAAGACATTTATTTCAATTCTTCTCTTTTTTTACATATTCCAACAGCGAGGACTTAGCAGGGACTTTGGAGTCAGATAGACTTGTGCTTAAATCCTTATTTTACTATTTGATGTTTATGACACCTTGGGCAAATTACTTAAGTTCTCTGAGACCCTGTTTAAAATGGTGATTGTGAAAATTAAATGAATAATAATATTAACAAATATTGAACACTTTTATTTGCCAGAAACATTCTTAGGGGTCTTCATATATTCATTTAATTCTCATAGTAATGTTGGCAAAGGTAATAGCCCTACTTTATAGATGGGAAAAGTGAGACACAGAGAGCTTAAGTAACACACACAGGGTTATACAGCAAGTAAGTGACCGCTAGTTTGATTCTGAAACCTGCAGACTTAACTACCAAATTATACTGTCTCAAAATATGTATGGAAACAAGTAGAAAATTTGGTATGATACCAGGTGCACCCTGGAAACTCAACAATTTTTTTTCTAAACTCTCTGCCCTTTAATCAGTGAATACCAATCTCATTTTATGTAGGCTGTGTGCACTCAAAATAAAGCAACTAGAAAACCTAGACTGAGAAACATATTTGTCTTTGTTTGTTTGTTTTGACATGTCATCAACTCTCTACCTCAAAAACTGAAAACATAGTATTAATTACTATTTGTTGCTGTTCTTTTATTTCTTGGAAAAAGATTCCCCCACATTCTTCATTTTCATGTTGGTGCCTTCTCAATTTTCAGTAATTAATTCTAAATAAGTCTGATGAAGGTAAACCTAGCTGAAATACTAGACATGTTAGTCGGAAAAGTCAAAACAACTATCAGTTTCTAGGAAATGCTGTAGGATCTTTAAAGATTCACTAGGTGGAGATGTTGAAAGGTATAAGAGATAGTTCTTGGAAGTAGCCTGAAAGCCTATTGAACATTTCTGATTTTCTCCTTTCATTTTCTTACCACCAAGTATAAGGAAAACCAAATAAAGAAGGACTTCATAACTAGCATATAGAACCTTGCTTTAGATGGGACCATATTATTTAAAGACCCTTCCTGTGTCTACATTATATGTCCTTTTGGTCAGCTTTCTTCTAAATTTTTATTATTCAAAGTGTATTAATAGGTGTACTTTTCAAATCCCAGAAAAACTATTTTCTGCATGTAAAATTAAGGTAATGTCCTTTAACTTTATTTCTCAAGGCACCTAGAAAAGAGATCTGAAACAGTTTTATCAAATAGAATTCTTCAGGAATAGATTCCAAATTAGGATTTGTTGTTAGTTTATTTTCAAGTTTATGAGAAAGGGTGATCATAAAGTGTAAGAAGAAAGATAAGCAATCTAGAGGTTGATTCTGAAAAGAATCCAAGCATTGAAATACTTATCTGTGAAGGAGGAAGTAGGAAAACTCTGTAAACAACAGAAAGGAAAATAATACTGACTGTGGGGCAGGGAAGAAAAAGTTACCAATAAAAAATTAGAATGAATATGTAAAAAGTAGTTAGTTAAAATATTCTGGATGCATGTAGATGGTATTTTTTTCCCATATGAATTTCAAACCTATTAGATTATTTAGAAATTTGCTGTTTTGTTTTGTTTTGTTTTTGAGTTGGGGTTTTACTCTTTTGCCCAGGCTAGAATGCAGTGGGATGATAATGGCCCACTGCATCCTCTAACTGGCTCTGGAGATCCTTCCACTCAGCATCCTGAGTTGCTAGGACTACAGGTGCATACCGCACACCTAGCTAATTCATTTTATTTTTTGTGGGGACAAGTTCTCGCTTTGTTGCCCAGGCTGGTCTCAAACTCCTGGGCTCAAGCACTGCTCCCACCTTGGCCTCCCAAAGTGCTGGAATTACAGGTGTGAGCCACCATGCCTGACTTTAGAAGTTATTTTCATATACCTTCTGTAAAATGCAAACCACCAAAAAGAAAAGGCATTGGAAATCATCTTAAATGTTTAAAATTCAACTAGTCCTAATTTTAAAAACTGACAAGTGACTTGTTTCTTATAAAGGAGCAGTGTGCAGTGGTCTGATTTATTTTCCATATGCTGGAGCTTCCTCCATCCATATCTGGTAGTGATATCACAGATACACCAAAAAATAGCAAGGACTTTCATGTGTATAGAATTAATGATCTACAGCACATAGCTCAGGAGCAAGGAATTACCCTTTAATGTGGTTTCTCTTCAATTGAAATGACATCCCAAAACCCTAATGGAAGTGTGAATTTTGTTTTCAAAGCATACAGTATGTGTGTTTATTCTAATTCACCGATCCTTACTTTTTCACCCTTGTGTAAATACTTCCTGACAGATTTTTTTTTTTTTTTTTTGAGTTGGAGT